TCCTGGGCATGATTTTGAATGCCCGGAGCCACCTGTAGGCCACTTCGTATTCTTCGAGTTCCCAGAACTCCATCCTGGGGATGATTTGAATGCCCGGAGACACCTGTAGGCCACTTGGTGCACTTCGGTTCCCAGAACTCCATTCCAGGCCACCATTTTGAAATACTGAGGCAGGCTGATGCGTGAGGCTTGAGGCAGGCTGAAGGCTTGTTGAGGCTGAGCGCAGGCTGAGGCGAGGCAGGCTGAGGCTTGAGGCCGAGGCTGAAGGACAGACTTGAGGCTGAGGTGAAGCAGCTCCCGAGGCTGAGGCTGAGGCTGAGGCTGAAGCCAGGCTGAGGCTGAGGCTGAAGCAGGCTGAGGCTGAGGCTGAGGCAGGCTGAGGCTGAGGCTGAAGCTGACTGATACTGAGGCAGGCTGAGGCTGAGGCAGGCTGAGGCACAGAGGCTGAGGCTGAAGGCAGACTGAGGCTGAGGCTGAAGCAGGCTGAGGCTGAGGCTGAGGCAGGCTGAGGCTGAGGCAGGCTGAGGCTGAGGCAGGCTGAGGCTGAGGCTGAGGCTGATGCAGGCTGAGGCTGAGGCAGGCTGAGGCCGAGGCCGAAGGCAGACTGAGGCTGAGGCTGAAGCAGGCTGAGGCTGAGGCAGAGGCAGGCTGAGGCTGAGGCTGAGGCAGGCTGATGCTGAGGCAGGCTGAGGCTGAGGCTGAGGCTGATGCAGGGTGAGGCTGAGGCAGGCTGAGGCTGAGGCCGGGGCTGAAGGCAGACTGATGCTGAGGCTGAAGCAGGCTGAGGCTGAGGCTGAGGCAGGCTGAGGCTGAGGCAGGGTGAGGCTGAGGCTGAGGCAGGCTCAGGCTGAGGCTGTGACTGCGACTGCCGTTGCCACTGCGACTGTCATCGCGAATGCGACTACGACTGCGAGAACAGCAGAATTCTACAACTGGATTCTCATCTCAATCTTAAGGGGAATGCTTCCAGATATGCTCCTACACATCGCTGTTAGGTTGCTTTGCCGGGATAAGTTCAATGCGTGGAATCTCTGGGATTGCGAAAAACCTGCGTCTTGGTTTTTTCAATACGCCGGACCTCTTTGGGGCTTCTGAGTGGCGCTCCTCCCAGCGGGCCGGGGGGGGCTCCGTGGGCCGGCCCCGTGGGCCGCGTGGCGGCCCCTCCCCCGGGGGGGGCGCCCCTCCTGGCGGGCGGGGCGCCTCTGCCGGCGCCGCGGGCCAGCCATCGGGGCCGGGCGCTGCGGCCGCCGAGGAGGGCGCCCCTCCCGGCGGGCCGGAGGGCTGCTCGTCGGAGATTGGAACTTCTACATCACCAGTGGCGGCAGCCCGGCGAAGGCCGGCACCCTGAGATCCTGGCGGCTCGCTTTTCGTCGCGGGTCCCCGGGCCCTCACAGATCGATGCGGCTCGAAAAATGACGCAGGAAGATGGGGTCCGGGGCTCCGGGCGCGGATGTTCACGATGTTGTAATTTTTTTCGCTGCGTCGGATCTCAGGGTAACCCCGTGGCTGCTAAAACGGAGCTCCGGGAAGTTGCTTTTTTCTTCCGGGAAGCAGCTCGTTTGCTATTTCGTGCGTCGAGCTTGATTCCGGGGATCCGTTTTTTTCTTCCGGGGAGACCGTTTTAGCAGCCACGGATTTGCCAGTCCTCGCCCAGCTTCCGACAGTGGCGGGTTTTGTTTCAATCCCACGACTTCTTGATGGTCGGGAACGATGTCGGGGTGGTGTGGTGTATACTCCTCCCCAATTCCCCGAGGGAAACAACGAAAAATGTATAGACCAGGATCCCGTATACACCAGGATCCGCGTTCCTGTTCGAATTTCAGCGCAGGGTCAGAAAAAGCGTCGGTGTATAGAGCTCGTTTCCCTACCTCTGCCGGCTCGGAGGGCCAGCAGTGGGCCGGGCGTTTTGGCCTCGAAAAGGTGGCGACCCTCAGCATTGTTTAACCGATCCCTATCCCCATCACCATCCACGTCTCGAGCCCCACCGTCTCACCGCCTCAGGTGGGGATATGCCCATCGAAACCCGAAGAGAGCAGCCTATATCCCCATCCAGGGGGGTTAATCGACCAGTGGGGCCCAGCCCGCGCCGGTGGGGCTGGGGGTCGGTTGCACGATGCTCAGGCCCTCACGGGGATTGCGCCCCTCCTCGCGGACTGGAGGCTTCTGCCAGCTGTGTGGGCCTGGGGGCCAGCCGTGGGCTGGGCGCCTCGGCGTTCGAGACATGGCGGCCCTCACGCCGATGGTGCCCAGCCCCTCCCGGTGGGCCAGAGGTCTCTGCCTTCTCTGTGGGCCAGTTGTGGGCCGGGCGCTTTCGCCATCGAGCGGTGGCGACCTTCACGAGGATGGCCCCGGGCTCTGCGGGCTCCTGTGGGGCAGCTGCGGGCCAAGCGTCCTGCCCATCGACAAGCGGCGACCCTCACATGGATGGCGCCTCTTCTGGTGGGCCAGAGGCCTCTGCTGGCGTTTGGGCCTGCTGTGGGTCAGGTGCCTTGGCCTTCGAAGAGTGGCGACCCTCACAGGGATGGCGCCCGTCCCGGCGGGCTGCAGGCCTCTGCCGGCTCTGTGGGCGAGGTGTGGGTCGGGCGCCGTGGCCATCGCAAAGTGGCGACCCTTACAGGGATGGCGGCCCTCCCAGCCCAGCGGGCTGGAAAGCTCTGATCTGTGGGCCAGCTGCTTGGTCGCGGCCGGCATAGGGATGGCGCCCTCCTAGTGGCTGGTGGGCCAGAGGCCTTTGCCGGCTCTGTGGGCCAGCGACCTTCAGCGGGCTGGCGGAGGGTTTTTTTTTGGACCAGCTGTAGGCAGGGCCGTTTGGCCATCGAGAAGTGCCGACTACGACAGGGACGGCACCCATCCTGGTGGGATGGGGGCCTCTGCCGGCTCTGTGGGCCAGCTGTGGGCCGGGTTGTGTTCCAGGCGCCCTGGCTTTCGATCAACGCATCTGCAATTACATATCCATATTTAATATATATATATATATATATATATATATATATACGTTCAAATTCATACACACATATATGCTATATTAGTGTATTATGCGATATATATATATATATATATGTATATGTATATGTATATGTGCATTTATATGTATATGTATATGTATATGTATATGTATATGTATATGTATATGTATATGTATATGTATATGTATATGTATATGTATACGTATATGCATATGTATATGTATATGTATATGTATATGTATATGTATATGTATATGTATATGTATATGTTTATGTATATGTATATGTTTATGTATATGTATATGTATATGTATATGTATATGTATATGTATATGTATATGTATATGTATATGTATATGTATATGTATATGTATATGCATATGTATATGTATATATATGTGTATATGTATATGTATATGTATATGTATATGTTTATGCATATGTAGATGTAGATGTATCTGTAGATGTAGATGTAGATGTATATGTAAATGTAAATGTAAATGTACATGTAAATGTATATGTATATGTATATGTATGTCGACTTTGGGGTAAGTTTCCAATCGCGGCGTTTCTATCGCATTTAGGCCTTTTGGGGGCCGTTTTCGGGTTTGACAAGGTAATCACAATTGTTTTCAAGGAGAGGGGGTCCTCGGTTTGAAAAACGATCAAATCGGATGATGTTTGGGTATCCGGATATCTTCGGCCAGCTCGCCACGGGGTCAGGGATGCAGGGGCCTGACTGGGCCGTTTTGGGGCTGTCGTGGGGACTCTTGGTGAGCAGTCTTGGCGGTCCCATGGGCCCTCTCGGGCCATCGTGGGGCCATGTTGGGCCATTTTGGGGCCTTACTGGGCTGTCTGGGCTGTCTTTTGGGTCTCTCGGCCGTTTGGGGAGTCTTTTGGGGTCGTCGTGGGGCCGCCTTAGGGCCCTCGGCCGTCTTGGGTTCCTCTGGGTGCCCTCGGGGCAGTCTAGAGGTTTTTTGGAGCCGCTTGGGCAGACTGTGGGCCTCCGTTGTGGCTGTCGGTGGGTTTTGTCTGTGGGCCTCGACGATCATGTTTGGCTTTTCGAGGGCATCCTGGATAGCGTCTCATGGGTGTCTTCGGGCCTGTTGGAGGCCTCTTTAGATTTACTGGTCGCGTCGAAGAGGCTCCTGTGTGCCAATGGAGGTGGTGAAGGGACATCTTGTCGGCTTTGGTGGCCTCCCCTCACCGTCCTGCAGACGATAGGCAGCTTTGGAAAGGCCCAGGAGGACGTCAGCGCGAGACCCAGGTCTGGTGCACGCAGCAAGGACGAGGAGGAGGAGGAGGAGGAGGAGGAGGGGGAGGAGGAGAGGGAGGAGGAGGAGGAGGGAGGAGGGAGGAAGGAGGAGGAGGAGGAGGAGGAGGAGGAGGAGGAGGGAGGAGGAGGAGGAGGAGGAGGAGGAGGAGGAGGAGGAGGGGAGGAGGAGGGGAGGAGGAGGAGGAGGAGGAGGAGGAGGAGAGGAGGAGGAGGAGGGAGGAGGAGGAGGAAAAGGGGCGGGGAGGAATTGGGGACGATGTGTGGACACCCTGCCAGACAGCGTCTGGCACTCTGCTGCGCCTCAGCGTGCCCGAGAGCACGGCGGCGGAGAATTCGCAGTGCCGAGCTGAGCCGCCCCTTTTGGTGCCGCGCACGAGCGAGGACGCCGCGTGGATCGGAGTCAGGGGAACGAGAAATGACATAAACATAATAACTCGGAGGTCCGCGCGGATTTCTCGGATCGGCGCTGGACACTCGCCCTGGCGCGCGGAGGGCGCCAGGGGCGGCGCCGGAGGCGCCGCCATGGGGGTCCAGCGCGGATCCGAGAAATCCGCGCGGACCTCCGAGTTTTTATGTTTATGTCACTCCTCGATGCCCCAGGAGCGCCGCTGTGCGCGCGAAGGGAAGGCAGAAGGCCTTTTGGTGCCGCGCACGAGCGAGGACGCCGCGCGGATCGGAGCGTCGCCGTGCGCGCGAAGGAAAGGCACTCTCCGATGCCCTCGCAGTGCCGCTGCGCGCGCCAAGGCCGGGCAGGGCCCGCCTCTCCGCACCCGGCCTCCCGGCGGGCCTCCTCGCGCGGGGCGCCGGCAGGCGCGCGCAGCGCCGCCCCCGGCGGCGCTCTGCGTGCCGGGCCCTGGTCGGGGGTGGACAGAACCCCCAACAGTGACATGTCGATTAGTGAGTTGTCCTTTTCGGTTCTCGAGAGGGCGCCGTGGCCGTTCTTTTCCAGGTTTGCGCCCGCCAGGTTTGGGCCTCAGGTCGTTTTCTTGAAACCTACTGAAGGGGGGTCTGTCCATCCACGACCTTGGGGACCTCGTGCAGCTTCCCTGCCCCGACGTCCGCCCGTGTGCAAGTCGGGGTTGTCCCCCTTCAGGGGACTGTCGGCGAAAAATCAAGAGCACCCCAAGAATACCCCAGAAGGGTCAGAAAAAGATACAAAAAAGAGTCCCGGGACTATTTTTGGATTGTTTGTTGATTATGTTCGGGGTATGTTTTTATTGTTTGTCGAGAATCCCCCTGTAGGGGGACAGGCCCGACTTAAGCCTATGTGCTTCCTTTTTGGCGTGTTCCCCCCCCCCCCCCCCCGGGCCCTCCTGTGTCGGGTTCTCGCTCGGAGTAGAGCACTGGGGTCGCGTCTCCCTTCCCCCTTCCCCCCCCCTCCTCCTCTCTCCTGCCTCCCGTCTCCCCCCTCTCCTGCCTCCTGCTCTTCCCCGGCCCTCCTGTGTGGGATTCTCGTGCTGTGGTCGCGTCTCTTCTCGTCCTCCCCCTCTTGCCTCCTGCCTCCTGCTTCTGGTCCCCTGGAAGGTCCGGCGGAGTGGCGGAGTGGCTCCTTGTGGGGCTGCGAAGTGTGAAGCTGTTGCCACTTTCGTGGGCTCAGCGGGCTCCCGGGAGGTCGCACGAAGTTGAATGACACGGAGACCCAGTTGAGACCTCGCGGCTCCCTCTGGGGCTGCGAAGCGTGAAGCTGTCGCCACTTTCGTGGCTTATGGGAGGTTAGCAGAGTGGAGTGGTACGGGGATTCAGTGGGGTTGCGAAGCGTGAGGCTGTCGCCACTTCTGTGGGCTCATGGGAGGTCCAGCAGAGTGGAGTGGTACAGGGACCCAGTTGAGATCTCGCGGCTTTCTGAGAGGGTGCGAAGTGTGAAACTGTCGCCTTCTTCGTGGGCTCCTGGGAGGTCAAGTGGAGTGGAGTGGTACGTGGGCCCAGTTGAGACCTCGCAATTTCTTGGGTTCCTGGGAGGTCCAGCGGAGTGGAGTGGTACGGAGGCTCAGTTGAGACCTTGCGGTTCTCTGGGGGTTGGCGACGTGTGAAGCTGTCGCCACTTTCGTGGGCTCCTGTAAGGTCAAGCGGAGTTGAGTGGTACAGGGACCCAGTTGAGACCTCGCGGCTTTCTGGGGGTTCGCAAGTGTGAAGCTGTCGCCACTGTCGTGGGCTCATGGGAGGTCAAGCGGAGTGCAGTTGTACGAGGACCTAGTTGAGACCTCGCGGCTCCCTGGGGGGTTGCGAAGCGGGAAGCTGTCGCCTCTTTCGTGGGCTCATGGGAGGTCCAGCGGAGTGGAGTGGCACGGGGACCCAGTTGACCTCGCGGCTCCCGGGGGGGGGGCTGCGAAGTGTGAAGCTGTCACCATTAGGTCCTGCGGAGCTGAGTGGTGCGGGGACCCAGTTGACCTCGCGGCTCCCTGGGGGAGGGAGCGACGTATGAGTGTGTGATCACCCCATTATGGAGCATATCTTTGGCTAGTTTTGCCCGCCTGGTCCAGGAAGAAATTCCAGAATGGAGCTGTTTCGAGACAGCATTGTCTGGCAAGTATTTGGGCTTTGTCCTGGGGCCTAGCGCTGGCGCCGCGTCACTGGCAGGCCCGATCCGCAAGTGCATCGCAAGAGTGGAATACGTCTATGACCTTTGCCTTGGACTTCCAGCCTCGGTATTGCTGTGCAATTCTCTGGCGATCAGCGTTCTCAGTTTCGTCTTGCAGCTGGCCGACCTCACGAGCGACCTGCTTGCCATTGAAAGGGACATGCTGCGCAAATTGGTTCGCGGACCAGGGGGGTGGCTACCCAAGTTTGGCGAGTACAACCTTCGACGCCCTCGGCCTCCCAGCGCCCTTCCGGTCCATCGCCGCCCTCCACGTCGCAGCTGCACGAGGACAATGGCGGATACGTGCCCTCGCCGGCGTGAGCTTTACGCGAGACTGCAGGAGGCAGTCTTGCGCGACGGAGCCCCGCTAGTATGGCGATGGCAATCGTGGCTGAATCCGCTGTCTGGTCACGTTGAGTTCCGTTTGTAGCGCAGAGGGAGACACGCACATTTCTGCGCAGGAAGGCCGTGGTGCGGTCTCATCGCAGGCCGCTGTATATTCGCAGGCGCATGCCAACATCCATGCCATAGTGCCCGAAGGTGTCCTCCGCTGGCGCCTCGGCAGGCGGCGCGATCTCATAGGGCCGTGCCGCGCTGGCGCGACTGCCGAGCGTGTAGTTCAAAACTTGTCTCGTTTCAGACCCAGCGTACCGCCAGCTGTCATTTCTTTTTGCCTTCACACTCTATTCAACGGGTGGACTTGCGCCTGGCGGTTTCAACTATAGGCGCCGTGCCTGTGCTGCGAGGCAGTTGGCGCGCCTGACGCGATGGAGCGTTTTTGGCGTTGCCAGGCCCTCATGGAGGCAGCCCGCCGCTACGCTCAAATAGATTTCGTGATTGGACGTTCCGCGATTTCCTCTTCGGGAGGGCCTGGAGGGAATCTTACAAAACGTAGCTATCTCCACCGCCACAGCGCAGCTACGGCACGAGAGTGGCGCAACGGACCCTTCCTGGTTGTACAGGTCTCAACTTCGAGGCACTATGGAACGCATCTGACCATTCACCCTCGACCGCGCGGTCTCCCATAGTGGCGTGCGTGTTCAGCAGTGCCCCATGCCCTCAGTCGCCCGCGACGGTTCGCCTTTTTCAGATTGGCTGGAGTGCTGCCCCTGGACCTTTCTCCTCCTCGTCCTCCTCCTTTCTCTCCTCTTTCCTCCTCTTGCCCCCTCCCGCGCTTGGTGCGACGCGCCGGCGTCCACCCGGCAACGGTGCCGCCAGATGTATTTTTTTCCGTCTTGTTGCTCATTCGCTCTGTGTGCCTTTCTTGTAGTTGCTTTGGCGTTGACCCTGTAGGGTAATCCACAGGTGCCGCCGCAGCCATTCTTTGGTCACGTTGCATCTGGCAGTGTGACATTTTGGATGTGCCAGCCCATCCTATCCTCGATTTGAGGAGTGGTTTTGTCCCTTTCTCCCTTGTCTCCTCCCCCTCCGCCTCCGTCCGGCTCCTCCCTCCCATTTCCCCACCCCGTGACACCGATGCGATGCAAGGGAATTTCGTATCGTACGATTTTGTTTGATGGCCGTTTTCCTCAGCAGTGGCGAGAACCAGCACGTTGGGTTCCTCCGTGTTGGTTCCGTTTGTGCGTAATTGCTGTCCCGAATATGCTTCACGGTGGGAAAACATGAAGCTAGCATTTTCGTGGGTTCTTGGGAGGTCCAGTGCAGTAGAGTGGTACGGGGATCCCGCGGAGACATCGGGGTTTCTTGGCCTCCTCGCGGTAGGGAGGTTGGCGCGCGAGTTCGGCCTGGAGCAGTTCTTGCACGACCTACGGAAGCACATGCCTGCGGTGTAAGGCGAGTTCGCGGTAGCTGTTGCCAACGCCTCACTGGCGCGGCCGGCGACGAGACTTGAAATTGACGCCAATTGCTCTCATCCAGAATGGCAGGAGTTCCCGTGGCGCGCAGCGCTGTCCTGTCACGCAGCGCTCGGCGCTGTCGCATCGCAGCTCGCGCGGGGCCGCTGCGCCACGCAGCGCAAGGCGCTGTCTTTTGCCCGCGTGGCCTCCCACCCTCAGCTGCCTCTGGCTCGCCATGCCACCCCGTGCGCCTGCTTCGCTTAGCGAAACGCGCTGTTTTGTTTCAGAGCGCACAGCGGTGTTCTGTCCCGTGTATGTGGTGTTCGGCGCGGGTGCCCACACTGAACATGTATGTTCCCCCTTATGCACTTACCTCCAAATGCTTTTGTCCCCGTTTTATATTGCCATTCTTGCGTGCTGATTTTGTGTACTTCTGGGAGTTCATGCGTGTTGCGAATCCTTCGACATGCTCGTTTCTAGTGGGCGGCCATATATCTACCCGCCATGTGTTTAGCAAAAGGTTGGGCACGCCACCGGGTAATTCCAGCTCGCGGCCCTAGAAGTCCCAACCGCTTGTCCGAGGGTATTCGATTGCTCCAGAATTTGTGTGTCGATGGTTCCACGGCCCGAAAATGGCACCCGAAGGCTTTTATCGAGGGACAAACGTTGGCTGACGAAAAACGCATAGTCGGATATCTGGGCTTCGCGCTCGTGCCAAGTCGTGTGCAGATAAGGGGGGGCCACGTGAGCACAGCGCGCACGACGTATTGCCGAACCACAGGAGGAGCGGCGCGCCGGGGGGGGGAGTGAGAGGGGTCAGGCCGAGTCACACGTCGGCAGGGCTTCTCAGACATCCTCCCGCCTTCAACGCACTGCCGGTCTACAGGGAGAGGAGCGCGCCGAGGGGGGAAATGAGAGGGGCCAGGTCTTTTCAGACGTCGGCCGAGCTTCTAAGAAACCTTCCCGCCTTCAGAGAATCCGTCTCTGCCCTGGGAGAAGACGGATAACGCTCGTCAGAGTCCTTTTCAGCCTCTCGAGAAGGTTCGCTCTCGCCGAACGGAACGCGCCCCTTCAGGCTTCGGAAAGTGCTACAGACGGGTCCTTAGTCCTTGTGGGTCTTCTCATAAGGCTCGCGCTCGCTGAGAAGAGCGCCGCCCCTCCTCAGCCTTCGGGTGTTTTCCGAAAACAGTTCGTCCCGCCGACAGGAGCTTTCTCCCCCCATTCCCCCGCGCGAGCTCGCCGCTCACCGTTCGGGCCGCGAGGCGGTCCCGCCGCACGCATGCCGCCCAAACCACCATACGCTTAGCCCCGGGGGGAAGTCAAAACAGGTTTTTCCCCCATGTCGCCGTCGTCGTCGTTGTCGTCGTCGTAGTCGTCGTCGTCGTCGTCGTCGTCGTCGTCGTCATCGTCGTCGTCGTCTTCGTCGTCGTCGTCGTCGTCGTTGGCGCATCCGCGTTCTCCGCCCGCCGCCGCCATCGTGGCCGCCGCCGTCCTCGTCGTCGTCGTCGTCACCGTTGCCGTCGTCGTTGTCCTCCTCCTCTGCTTCCTCCTCGAAGCTCGAAGTTGCGGATTCGTTTGCTGATCGCCTCGCCTCGCCCCTCATCGCCCCAGCAACACAGCATCGCTTGCGGGGGGCGGGCGCCGAAAAAGGGATTAGCATAACAACCAAAAAGGGGGGGACCCCAAGGAAGGATGAGACCAAAGACGGGGACGACACGGGAGGACGCAGCAACAGGAGGAGGAACGAGAGAGGCAAGGAGAACAAGGAGAGCAGCTAGGACGACCAGGAGAGCGGGCGGGAGGAGGGAGAGGTCCCAGCAAGCAAATGAGCCCCCAAGCGCCCTTCTCCCCCGAGAGACGAGGGCACACTCCTGACCTGGACAGGTTCCAGAATCGTGTGCTTTGGGGGGGGGGGGGGGCGCTGGGGGGGTCACCGGACAGCTGGGGCCTAGCAGGACAGTGCTGTGCCAAGTCGTGCCGCTGGTTACCGTACCCCCCCCCCATTGCTACCCCCCGTCGCCCCGTACCACAGGGCGGCAGTAGGCGTGTGACACGGAAGTTGTGGCCCACGCTCTCGCCCCTCAGCTCGGTCCCCAGCATAGCTTGGGGGGGATGCGGGCAGGGCGGCAAGACCAACAAACAGTTGTGAGATGGAGAGAATCGGGGCTGGAGTTCCAGCGTGTGCATGCCTTGGGTCAGCCTCGCGTATCAGCAGGAGCCTCGGCCTCGTGGCCAGGCCACGTGGGGTGCCCCGTACCTGTAGTTGAAAGCACTCGCGGGCCCAGGGGGTCCGCCGTCCGAGTGCACGAGCCAGCTGCAGCGTGGGTAGAGGCCTTGCTCGGATGAGCAGTGAACCACCTCCTCCGCTCCATCCTCCTCCTCACCCCCCCCCACCCTTGTTGCCCGAGCCACGGTCGGCGTGCAGGCTGAGCGTCGGGCAGGTTGGGTGTGCGAAAGGAGGGGGGGACGAGAGGAGGGGCGGGGTTGCTGGCTGGTGTGCAGGAGACGAGACGAGGAGGGGAGAAAGAGCGCATGCGGTGCAAGCTGTCGTGAAAAGCCCGCAGTGCCAAGCGGGGGAAGGCCGCGGAGACGGCGGAGCCCGGGGGGGAGACGAGGAAATGCAGAAATGGAGAGGTAAGGTTGGAGGAGCACTCTGGCCGTGTGTTAGGCGTGGAGAACCGCACCTCCTTCTGGAAGCGCAGCTGTAGCCGGCGCGTCTTCTCGCAGCACAGACCGGGCGGCCCCTCGGCATTGGCCGCGGAGGCGGGGATGCAGGGACCCTCGGCGGAGCTGCTCCCCACAAGGTGCCCGCTGCAGGCGGCGCGCTGCGGAGCCGTGCCAGTGCCCTCCGTCGCGCACGTCTCGAGCTCGCAGGCGGAGTAGGCCGCCTCGTGGCAGGACTCCCGGCCGGTCACGCGCTCGCAGTCCGCGTCGCAGCCCGCGGCCCGACACCCAGCCCTCCGGCCTGATGACTCGGGCCGTGCCGTCGACGGCCGCCGATGCCGTGCACCGCGCCCTCTGGCTTCCCAGGTGGCAGGCCTGTTGGCCACCGAATCCGCCCACGGTCGCTTCGCCAGCCCGACCCGGCACGTGTGGGCCCGCCAGAGTGCGCCTGCCGCGCCGCTCCCAGCCGCCGGCCAGGGCCCCCCTGGCCCCCCCCCCTCCTCCTCCTCCTCCTCCTCCTCCTCCTCCTCTCCTCCTCCCTCCTCCTCCTCCTCCCTCCTCCTCTCCTCCGCTTCCTCCTCCTCCTCCTCCTCCTCCTCCGCTTCCTCGTCCTCCTCCTCCTCTTCCGCTTCCTCCTCCTCCTCCTCCTCCTCCTTCGCTCCTGCGGTTCTGGCCGTCGCTCCTCCCTGCTCGCCGGGGGTCCGCCCCCAGCCCATGCGGCGCGGCTCCCGCCGCGGCCTCCTCCCGAGCGGCCCGCGTCCCGCGAGCAGGCCGGCCGCGGACGGCGGCCGAGGCTCCAGCGGAAGCTTTAGAGCTCTGCGTGCTTGCCCTCTTGGTTCTCTTGCCTCTCGTGCCTCCCGTGCTTCGGATGCAACTCCCGGGAGGTCAAATTCTGATTGTGTCCTGGTCCGAAATCCGGCTTAATCCGGCTTACTCCCGCTGAGTCCCGTTTAGTCTGGCTTCATCCCGCTTGATCCGCGGCCCAATCCCGCGTAGTAGCCCTGGAGTTCTGCGTGCCTGCCATTTTTAGGGGAACGACGAATGACACAAACATGCAAACTCGGAGGTCCGCGCGGATTTCTCGGCACCGCGCTGGACCCCCGCCTCTGGCGCCGCCCGTGGCGCGTTCCGCGCGCCAGGGAGGGGGTCCAGCGCCGATCCGAGATCTTCACGCGGACCTCCGGTTTTCTGTCGCGTCGCTGCGGCGAGCGACGGGCGCTGACGGTACGCTCCGAGCATCCTTTTGTCAAGCTGCTCTCGCCTCGCGTGCCTCCCTTGCCCCGTGCAGTGACTCCCCGTACTGCTCTGCGGCGCCAAGCCTCGTGACACCGAGGCGGGCCGTCCACCCGCGCGGCCGCCGTCGCCTCCCCGCAGGGCCTTCCCAGTGGGCAGTGTCCCTCACGGCGGCGGCGCGCTTCGTCTTCGCGTGGGGCGCCCCGCGGTGGGCAGCGCTTTGCTTCCTCGCCGCCCGCGCCTGCGTGGTTGTTGCCTTGAGCTGCTGCGTGGTTGCCGGTGCGGCGATCCGAAGCGATCCTGCTCGAGGGCCCCGTCCCGCGCGCCAGCCCGCTTGCTTGGACTTGCTCCGCCTCTTTGCCGCGCGCGAGGCCTCTATATATGTATATGTGTATGTCTATGTCTATGTGTATGTATATGTGTAAGTATAATTATATATCTATGTATATGTATATGTATATGTATATGTCTATGTTTACGTATATGTATATGTATATGTGTATGTATATGTATATGTATATGTATATGTATATGTATATGTATGTATATGTGTATATATATACACACGAATATGTATGTTTATTGGTATATGTATATGTATCAGTATATGTATATGTATATGTATATGTACATGTATATGTTTATGACTATGTATATGTATATGCATACGTGTATGTAAATGCATATGTAGATGTATATGTATATATACATGTATATGTACGTGATTATGTATGTGTATATTCAGATGTATATGTTTATGTGGGGTGTAAATGTGTGTATATGAACACACATATACATAAGTAGAGGTATATGTATTTGTATATTATAAATATTTGTACAGAAATGCACGTACATGTATATGTATATGTATATGTATATGTATATGTATATGTATACATATATATATATATGTGTGTGCATGTGCATTTGTATGTGTATGTGTATCTATATATGTATACGTATACGTATATGTTTTTTTGTGTTTGTGTATGTGTATGTATATGTATATGTATACGTATACGTATATGTATATGTATATGTATATGTATATGTAGAGGTACATGCACATGTACATCTATATGTATGTGTGTATATGTACATGTGTATATGTATATGTATGTGTATATGTATATGTATATGTATATGTATACGTATCTGTATATGCATATGTATATGTATATGTATAGGTATATGTACATGTGTAGGCATATGTATATGTATATGTGCATGTCTATGTGCAAACATATAAAAGTAGATGTATTTGTATATGTGTATGTATATGCATACGTAAAGACATACCATACAAAGGTGTAAATCTATGTATGCATGACTGTATGTATGTACGTATGTATGTATATATATTATATACCTATATATATATATATATATGTATGTGTATGTGTATGTGTGTGTGGGTGTTGTCGGCTTGTGTTGATTGCCTATGTTTTGTGCGTGGGTGAAGAGTGCTTCCTGGATCATTTAGCTGGCTTTTTGCTGCCAGTCGTGTTGTTACTGTTGTGTTGGCCGGGCGCCAGGGCAAGTGCCATGAGTTGTGGGGTGGCCAGATTGTCGCGATGTCAACGCAACTGTTTTGGTGGCGCCGTGCTGTTAACAATGCTGATTTTTTTATGGGGCTGCAGTGTGCTGGATAATTATAAGTTTGCGTGTGTTCATGGCTAGCACGAGGGTTCAGGCGCGCTGATCGTTAGCTGGCGAGCATTGTCTGCAACACTTGCGCGTTGCATGCGAGGAGAAAATGGTGCATGGTTGCAGTGTGAGCGCGGCGCATGGGTCCAGCGGGATGAGGGGTTGGATGGGCCGCCTTCGTGGATGTCGGCCGGCATCGGTCATCGTTGAGAGCGCCTGGTACTCTTATTTTCTTGGGGGTGGGACGGTGATCGTGTGCAAGAATTTGGTGGGTCCAATCACATGGTGTTTGTGTTCTGGCAGTTGGATCGTCGCTTCGCCATTTGTATGTGTGGCGTTACAACGAGAATCTGAACAAGTAACCCTGCGGCGGTTCGGGCGCCGTGGGGTTGTCGCCAATGTCCCAGAGGGCCTTGCCTGCGTGTGGACTCGGGAAGTGTTTTGTGCATGATGCCGTATGTGATGCGACCGTGATGAACCAAAACTGCTGGGCGAGGTGGATGAGAGGAGGGCGGGGGATAGGAAGAGAAGTGGGAGGAAAAGAAGGGGGAGGTGGAAAAGGACGAGGGGGAGCAACAGGAGGAAGAGGAGGAAGAAGAGGAGGAGGTGGAGGAGGAACAGGAGGAGGATGAGGAGGATGAGGATGAGGATGAGGATGGGGAGGAGGAGGACGAGGAGGAGGTGGAGGACGACCAGTGTAAACCCATGACGCATCAGCGATATTGCATCAAACCCTCCCTCCAAGTTCTCTCTTCCTAGGCTGCTATACGGATTCATTTTCACTGAGGGGCATGCCTCGATTGAAAATCACCGAATCAAGATTTGGAATTGTGCCAGAAAACCATTCCTGGGATTTCAACGCTGCGAGTCATCGTTTCTGTTGCGCCTTGACGATCCCGAACCCTGTTAAAGCAGCATTCCTGGGACACCGCGAAGCAACGTGACTTTTGCGCCCTGACATTCCGACATCGTGCCAGAACGCCCATCCTGGGACGTGAACCCTGATAATCTTTGAACTTGATGCGAACTCTCAGGACAAATGCGCGCGGCGCTAAGGCGAGAGCCACACTCTGAAAGCAGACCGCCCTCCATCCGTGAAACTCGTGCACATGTTCTGAACGAGTGTGTGCGGTACTAAGGCGAGAGCAACATGTTGAGAGCGGACCACCCTCCATCCGTGGAGCTCTTGCACTCTTTCAGGACGAATGTGCCTGGCGCGACACTCGTGCACACTTTTAAGGCGAGTGTGCGCGGCGCTGAGAGGAGAGTCACACTTTGAAAACAGACCCGGCGCCGAGGCGAGAGCAACATGTTGAAAGCGGACCGCCCTCCATCCGTGAGGCCGTTTCAATTTTCATTGCAAGGGTCAGAAACTGTGAGGAATTCTCAGGCGAAACGCCCGGCCCGCCCTTCCGACCAGCCTCGGCGCGCGACAAGGAAGCTTTATCTATGAGACAAATAATAGATGAGGAGGAGGGAGGGACGGAGGGAGGAATGAGGAGGAGGACGAGGAGGAGGAGGAAGAGGAGCATGACGAGGAGGAATTTGTGCTCCCCCGATGAACGCGGAAAGGAAGAGGAGGAGGAGGAGGAGGAGAAGGAGGAGGATGAGGAGGAGCAGGAGGAGGATGAGCAGGAGGAGGAGGAGGACGAGGCGGAGGAGGATGAGGAGGAAAAGGAGGACGGGGAGGAGGAGGAGGAGGAGGCGGAGGACGCGGAGGAGGAGGAGGAGGAGGAGGAGGAGGAGGAGTAGGAGGAGGCGGAGGAAGAGGAGGAATAATCATAATAGTCCAAAGAAGATCATCACGAATACTATCAATGGTAGCAACATCAACAATTGGAAGACGCAGGCCAAGAACAATAACAAGTAATACTACGACTTTTAATCGTACTACTTAAGACTACCAGGATTTCTAGTACCAGCAACACGAACATTAATCATAGTACTATTATTTTTCAATTACTTTCGGTAATCGTGTTACTTGCGCTAAGAATATCAGTACGAAGAGTAATGGTATCACTAACCAGGAGGAGGACATACTCTTACTACTACAACTACCACTACTGCTACTACTACTGCTACCACTGCTACAACTACTACTACTACGACTACTACTACGACTACTACTACTACTACTACTACCACTACCACTACCACTACTACTACTACTACTACTACTACTACTACTACTACTACTACTACCACTACCACTACTACTACTACTATTACTACTATACTACTACTACAACTACTACTACCACTACTACTTGCTAGTACTACTTCTGCTACTGCTACTGCTACTGCTACTGCTAATGCTACTACTACTACTACTACTGCTGCTGTTGCTGCTACTACTGCTACTAACTACTACTAACTACTACTACTACTACTACTACTACTACTACTACTACCACTACTACCACCACTACTACCACTACTACTACCACTACTACTTCTACTACTTCTACTACTACTACTACTATTTCCACTACTACTACAACTACTACTACTACTTCTACTTCTACTTCTACTGCGGCTACTACGGCTACTACTACTACTACTACTACCACTACTACTACTACCACTACTACTTGTACTACTACTACTACTACTACTACTACTACTACTACTACTACTAGTATTACTACTACCACGACTACTACTACTACTTCTACTACTACTACTACTACTACTACTACTACTACTACTACTATTACTACTATACTACTACTACTACAACTACTACTACTACTACTAGTACTACTTCTGCTACTACTACTACTACTACTACTACTACTACTACTTTACTAGTACTACTTTCTACTGCTACTGCTACTGCTACTGCTACTGACTACTACTACTACTGCTGCTGTTGCTGCTACTACTGCTACTAATACTACTAACTACTACTACT